CGCTCGGTTCCACTCCAGCTGAGTGGTGGGGGCGGCTCCTCGCACGTGCGGAGGGTTTGCAATGGGGCGCCACACGCACGCACGGACATCTACATACAGAATATACGTGTATGCACACATACACCTGTACACATACGCACATACACACGTACACACACGTGCATATGCACGGATGCATGTGCACATACATGCATACAGACACACATGCACATACATGTGCATACACGTGCATATGCACATGTAGATACGTATACACATGTGCATATGGCTGGCACAGTTCTTTGAGTTGATGGGATATCTTTTATTAGACCAACTGAGTAGTTGGAAAGAAGTTCTTGGCAAACTTTTCGGGCGCAGTCACCCTTCTTTCTTCAGGCATAGGGAGTCTCTGCTGTGTACATATCCATACATATCCATACATACATATATACATGTGCATACATACATACATGCACCATCTCCCATGACATATATACAGCATGTCTCCCTATGAGCAGGGGACATTACCTGCCCTGGGCTCTGCTGCTATTTCTCTATCATCCTGCTGTGCCATCCTATCCCCTAACCCCACTTTCCTCGCCACAGCCCCACCTTCCTCCCTACCGCACACTCACACGCTGATTGGTCTCACTGTAAGCCGAATAATCATGTTCTCAGCTGCGCATCTCTCTTTTGTAAGACTGTGTTGTGTTTTCAAGCAACTCTTCCTTGCAGTCTCATTTTACATGGGTGGGACAAGGGGGATAAGGAAATGTTTAAAAGAAGATGTATTTGTTTTTGTTTTGTTTTTTAAAGAGATGGGTTTGGACTGGCTGCGATATGTGACCACGTGAAAAGGGCTTGCTTAACCACATCCCCTCATTTTTAATACTTTCGTTGTTTTTTTTTTATTGGGGTCTCTTTTTCTATGTCCATTTATTGGACTTGGGCTTTAAAAGGAGTGTCTCCTAGCAGCAGAATGCAGAAGGCCCATTCATATTACAATGGGCAGAGAGGAAAGAAAGAGCCTGGTTTGTTTAAACTGCTTCTGTCTTCATTCACAGCCTGATGTCCATGTGCATTGTGCTGGCTACAATGGGACTAAAGGACTCATTGTGGTCGAAAACAAATCAAAATAGAATAAGAGATGATAAGATAAAAGAGTCATGCAACAAAATTGTTCAAAAAATCTAAGTCTTACATCTGAGATTTATGTTACCTTTTGGCTGCTTGGCCTATTGACCAATGTTTATAATAACCACTAGAGTTTAATAAACAAAGCAGGCCATGGGAACTTTAGATGCTGTCTTTAAAGGCGCCTTGTCGCAATGGCATAGGGGTGTCCTCTGATTTGGGGTAATAATTATTGCTCTATGCTTGCATACATTTTACAACTGCTCTTTGCTTGTTTTGACCCTGGTGCTTTCCTAGTGGCAGACCAGACATAATATCATCTTGATAAAAAAATGCCAAAGCCCCCTTTGTATGTACAAACAGCATGCTACCATGGATGCTCTCCCTTAGCTCACAAGATGCTTGCATAGCCTACTCGGGCCTGAGAGGCAACAGGTGGAAGCCTGAATAACTTCACATATTTTCAGGGGGGAAAAGAGGGACTTTGGGGAGCTGATTTAAGGATTAGATCAGATGTTATTGCCAGTGAAAAATTAAACAGAGCAGTGCTCTAGGGAGTACAGATTAATATATTTAGTGACTCTGCATACACAAAGGCTTACCATTGTAGCCACGTCTGAATGCCTGTGAATAGGATGGAACATATGCGGCCTGTCACCGCAGGTGCCCACATCTGTTCTTCTCCAGGCAGATGCTCACAGAAAAGGGGAGAGCAATTCCAAAAGCACGGATCCGCCCCATCCAAACCCATCCTCTTTTCATAATCACCTTCTGCAAAGTGGTTGCTTTCTTTTTCCTGCCTTGTAAATATAAGACCTACAGAGAGAAGTGGAAAAAAATTAAAAAACAATGTCATGAAAACAGGAGGATATTTGGAAAACCTCAGAACCAAGTGAAGGGAAAAAACAAACAACCTCCCCAAAACAAAAACAAAATAAAAACACAAAGTAAAACCAAAACAAAGCCCCCAGAGCAGAAACAACCACAAAAGTGTATTATTTCCAGGTTTGTGCTGGCAGTGTAAAGCATACAATAATAAAATAAAATTGATTAGTAGGCCATATAATAGAAGAAGACACTATTCATATGGTAGTGTGGTGTGGTGTGGTATGCTATAATCAAGTCTAGTCTAGCCAAGTCTAGTGTAGGCTAAACTGTGCTGTACTGATGTATGAAGCTATTATTTGAAGTTTAAAACCTTCAGGCTTAAGACAGTGATTAATTAAACCTTCTAACCAGGAGGGGTTGTCTTTCCCTTACAGAACAAGAGAAGAGAACACAGATGACATTGTTGCTAATATTGGGACTACTGTAAGGGGAATATTTTGTTCCACCCATTGAAAATTCATAATCCATAAATAAGTCATGTATTCCTAACAAATATTGAAACTAAGAAGCTGCCACAACCTCCCTCATTTTCTTCATGTGTCAAGTGGGCAGAATAGACTGAAGTAACTGGATCTTGCTCTCCGCATTTATCCAAAACTCCTATAGCATCACTGTCTTAGTAGAAAAGGCGAATGGTTTATTCTAACAAAACTGTCTAGGCTTTTTCTTGCAACTCCTGATCTCAGCCCCTATGGCTTCCCTGTGTCAGGGGATCAGGCTCATTAGTTTAATACATCCCATGTCTTTACACCCAAATCTGTGGCAAAAAAATCATCTTGCTGGGTATGTTCAAGCAGAACCCCACTCAGGTAAATTCAAATTTTTCAGGACTAAGGTGAGCAGGATACATTCCAATGGGAAGGTGTTTCTACCAGAACTCATGAGATAAAGATTGTACCCAGAAAGACATTTGGAGCTAAGGGGGAAGAGAGAAAAATATCAATGATACTATTTTGGTAATTTTATTCAAAGGAAAATAGTGCTGCAGTAAGTGACACTTTTAAACCTCTGTTTCTTGCACTGCATGATCTAAACAAGCCATTTGAGAGATGCTGGTATGTGCTGGTAGAGTATGTTGGCTTTCTTCCAAGATTTGCAGTTTGTGGGTAGGGGATAAGGAGTAAAATAACAACAACAACAATAATAATGATGATGTGGTATTTTTAGAGTCATGGAAAAGAAAGCGAGTGTGTGTTGTGGGGTGGGGAAATGAGGAATGTTAACCTTTTCATATTCATATTCTCATTCCTTGGAGTCTCAGAACAGCAGAGACTCCCTATGCCTGAAGAAGGGTGATTGCGCCTGAAAGCTTGCAAATAACTTTCCAACTACTCAGTTGGTCTAATACAAGATATCACATCTACGCGAAGAACCTTGGCAACCTTTTCATATGCTCCTGAAAGAGGAGACAGGTTAAATCTTGGAGTCTTCCCTTTGTCAAATGCCGATTGACTTCCTGAGTTCGGGCTGCCCAGCTTGGGCCACTATTGATAAGCGTGACCAGACTTAGAAAACGTGCTATTGAAACTTTTTACATCGTTTCCAGCCTTTGATGGAGTAAGAAATCAAGTGAAAAACAGTCATGTAATTGACCAAACTGAGCCTATGTCAATTGCCTTTCCTTCTCAACAAAATTATCGCCCAGCATTGCTATAGTAAAGGAGGATTATTACTGAAATCCATAAACCCAAAGAACTATGTCAGAGGTACATTCCCTTTCCTTGCAGAGAATATGTGTAGCTCTGTAAATAATGTACCTTCAATCAGGCACAACTATACAAAACCCAATTACAGTCCACTCTGAAATTGTGTCAAAGGCCCTGGAAAGGCTCTCTTCTCCACCACCAAAGGGAATGGCATAAAAATAGGTAAGGGCAAAAGCAAATGGAAGAGATCTGAGTGGAGAGAGACTAACAGATCTTTGTGATCGTGCCTTTCTCTTGTCGACAGTGGATCCTTTTCGCTTTTCTTTGCGATGGTGTGGTGCATGCAGTTGGAGGAAGAGCCTGGGTGAATCTGAGGTGGCCCCAACTTGAATTCACCCGGGCGTCTTGAGCTGCCCTGCGGTTTTCCTTGTGGGAAGGTGGCCGGAGGCAGTTCTGCAGCGCTGCAGTTTGGCCCCAGCAGAGCCTGAATGCGCAGCTATGTTCAGCCTGTGTGAAAGCTGCTGGGAGCAGGTCACAGCAGCCTCCCCCCACCCTCCCCCGGGGTCGATGGCAATCTGTTGGTGGGGGAGATGGGCTGGCCTATTGTCGTGCCTTATTGTGTGTGTTTGGTTTTGTTCCTGCTCTGGCCCGGAGGTATGTGTAATCCTGCGCCCATCACATTTGCTAAATTTGCCCTAAGGAACCGGCAGATGTTCCCTTGGCAGACATCGGCACGCGACTGACCTCAGCCCTTTGCAAGAATATTCCCCTAATACAAGCCTTTCCATTTCGAAGCGGGGACAGCAGCAGCACACGCCAAAAGAAAAAGAAAAAAATAAAATAACATATGAAGAAGAGGCATCAACTTGCCAGCGAGTCCCTATGGCCCGCCTCGAGTCGGAAACGAGCCAAATAAACAAATCCAAACAAAACCAGGCGAGCAAAGGCAAAAGGAGGGTTTCCCCCTCCTGTTCGAGCAGTAAAACACATATAGGGGCGACTTTCAGATTTGCACGGGAGAGGGCTGAAGAGCAGCTGGCTGCAGTAATCTGATCTGGAGACAAAGGAAT